TTTTGGAACAGTCTGAAAGTCATATTGTGACAGGGGAAAACTCCCTCAATTTCTTACAACATCCAAGACAATATCAACTAAACACATAGCTGATAAGAAAAATAGGGGTTGGGTTGTTTTATTCATAATTCTATTGAGAAAGAAAACAGAACTCATCATCCATCCTGAATAATTCAGCCCTCTTCAATACTGCTTAATACCAACCTGATCTAGTTTACACTTTCAGAAGAACTACAGCTAAATTTCAGATCTCTGCAATGGAAAAGAGAACATCTTATAAGTTCCCGTACACACGAATATAGACCAAAGACATTTCACACAGCAAATGCATTCAGGGCTTATTGGAAAACAGTACATGAGACAACGTTAGCTACACACAAGAGAAGAGCCATCACGGCTTTAGGATACTGGAAAGGAAAGCTTAATGTAGAGGTACATTGCTTTTTATTAAACCAATTCATGGGATCAGTGGAAAAAAACTCCTAATTGCCTACATGCTACTTCAGTTCATGTAACAAAATATTTGTTTCCTCTATAAACTACACTTCAGGTACAGCTGCTTTATGCAGTTTTGAGTCAAGTTAACACGACAGCTTAGGTTAGGTTGATGTGAGACAGAATTAAGAACCAGAGAGAGGAATACAAAGGAGTAGGGACAGGCTGGTAGCAGGAAAAACAAAAAGTATAAATAGATTTTCATAGTAGCAATTTTTTTCCTCTTCTATTGGGAAGGAAACTAAGGCAGGAAGATTGTCATACTGGCACAGCCTTGTGTGACTGTTTTACTGTATTACCTGAACAGGTCACTGAACAGCAGGACTTAACATTGTCTAAATCTAAGCCACACTCTGTCACTCACATATGTTACAAAGCGTACACAGCCAACAAATTCATTCACCAATCACAGAAAAATAGCTTAGGAGCAGTTTTTGTCTGTAAACTCCTGTCTGCTGGCTTTAGGCAGGGTCTTTACTTCCCCTTGAGCCGTTATGCTCCTCCAGAAAGGTCAGGAAGAGACTACCCTCAGAAAAAGAGCTGACAGCAATTCAAATGCTGCAAGTACATGAAAAAGTAGCATTATTAGCATATAAATCCAATACAATGCAAGAGTAAACACTAATAATATTGTTGCAAATATTAATAATTTAAATCCAATAGAACAAGCTTCTCAAGAATGCATACATATGTTATGAACATTGCTAATTTAGTAGAGTCTAAAAATACATTTTTAAAATATTTTGTTTCGTTCCATCAATGATTAATACATATGGATAGACACTTAACAACTTATTCATATGGAAATAAGCAGTGACATTCCAGGTCCTCTAAGCAATCAATAACTTTTAACCAAGATCTGCATTTTCTTCTATGCATATCAGAACTCACAAGAGCTCTCACAGACTGAGACTAAGGAAACAAATGTATTATAGGAACTATCAAAGACTACTAACCACAAACATATCACCTCCGACTCAGATAATCCACGGATCCTAGCAGGCTCACAAAAAAAGCTGAGCAAGCCCCAATGCATTACTCTTACACTACTCCCCACAACCAGCCTTACAGCTGCAGAAAGATACACTTGTGTGATACAGTTCATTTGGTGTTTGAAATACAAGTAAATGCTAAATACTGTATTTGAGCAAAGAAAAATAATTAATTGAAAGCATGCACTACGCCAAGACTGATGGTGAGTGCTGTGGGGCAGATGAACCCATGCCATGGGCCTCTTGCAAAGCATAGGAACCATTCCTACAGCTCTGTGCTCTCAGTGCCCCACCAGCACCACCTCCATTGTATGCTGCTCACGTGAAAGACATTCACACAAACAACCCTTGCCACTTCATTCCACAAGCAGTGAGCTGTGACATCCTCAAGAAGTGCATTCCTTCTCTTCTCATCAAGGGCCAAGTGTGGTATAGCTGACAGATCACACTGTCCGCAAAGCTCACCTTCCTTGTCTTCTCTTCCTCTCCCTGTGTTCAGGGGATATTCAAGAGCACACAGAAAGCAGCACCATTTCACAGCAATGTAGACTCTACTCTGCAATAATCTTGCAGTGTGCTTTCCCCACCACCCCTCTCCCCTCTGGGGAGGGTCATTATTTTATAATACTTTGTATATCACTGATATTTTCCTCTCTTAAAAGACCTTCAGGAAGATGTGTCAGCAATTTACACTGTAAATAGGAAAGGAAATGGATTATTAACGTTAGAAAATTACCTGCTGCCTGGATGGGCTTGACACAATAGGATCCAAAGTTCAGACATTCACAGTACTTGAACAAGAGATTGAGCTCAGTCATTCAGACACAGCCACAAATTTCTTTACTTTCTGATCACTTCACAAATTGATTACCATAAATTACTGAAATCTCATCAACAATGAAACATTTTATGAAAAGAAATACAAAGCATAGGTCACAGACAAGCTGATTCTAATGAATATTCCTCTTTCTGTTAACAAATCTTAGATTACAACATGCCCTTCATCACTGAGCACGCTTCAGAGAGAGGAGACTGTTACAAGGCTGAACGTCACCATCAGTGGCCACGAGCACCTCCAAAATAGTGTACCTGCTTAATTAGTGATTCAGATTTTATTGTACTTGCCATTCTGAAAAACTGATGTCAGCTGTGCTGATGGCAAATTCACGCTGAGAGTCTTTTTAACCCTCAGCCCTGCACTTAAAAAAATAGAAACCTGAGCAGACTAGGGAAAAAATAAACATCACTGTATGGAAATGGCTTTCAGAGGAAAAATGAGAGGCAAAGGAATATTCCTGACTCCTCTGTGCCATAGGACGATACACTGCAGACTTATTTTGCAACCTTAACAGTGAACGAGCAAGATGATAATCAAAATATCTGATAAAGCAGGGAGAGGCATGGATCAATAATCAGACTCTACAAAAGAATCTATAGTAACCTTAGGAAGTGAGACAAAACCTCTACCTGCAGCTCTCCAAATTCAAATCTAAGGGGAAAAATAGGCCAAAAATTCAGTAAGTTTCCACTACACTTGAATTCACCATATTGTTCCTTTCCATTATTCTTTGAAATACTAAATTACTCCTTAAAACACATCTACTTTTCTGTTCACACAGTGCTACCATTTTGATTCCACCACTACTGCCCTAAATACCCTTTTCTGTCAGGGTTTTGTCCATGAGGACATTGGATACTTTAGCCTTGTATTGGAGCATTCTGTATCCTGAACAGCAGCTTCTGCGAGGGAGGTGCTTTCACAATTACATTCTGTTCCTATCTGTTTTGTGCACGAGGCCACACCAGGAACAGAGGCTGGTACAGGGCATGCAGCAGGGGAGGTTGTAGCTGTAAAGTTGAAGAGAACAGGCAGAAGAAAAAAAAACAAACCAAAACAACTGGAAAATTGTTTCTGGCCCAGGTGGGATGTGGGAGGTTACCATAGCACAGTGAAGGGCATAGGCTTGGGGCAGAATTGCTGCTCCTTTAGGAATTTTCTTTCTGCTTCATCTTTTTTGGTATGTGATTTGCAGAATAATCTAAAAAGCCTCCATTGAATCTATTTGCTTTGTGTAAGTAAGTGATTAATAAAGAGCTTACACCTATTCAGCAGCACAGTACTGGTCTTGGGCAGCGCCTTCAGTAGAAGCCAGTTCTGCTTAGCATGGGAAGTGAAGGGGCAGGAGCTAGCAGATAGCCTAAGCAGGTGCTGTGCTTATCATTAATAACAAGTAGTGAGCTTTAGGAGGAGATCATGAAACTGGCCTCAGAACTCACTACCGGATTCCAGTTCTCCTGTGCTTTCTGATAATATACCGCACATACAGCTCAAGAATTAACCCAAGTGACATAAAATATAATTTGATGAATGGAGGAGAATATACAGGAAGCATTCTCCATGGCTGTAAGTCTCCATTGTAGGAGAAATCATGTGTACTCTGCCTATTATCAACACTTCTCTTCATTCAAAAGAAAAAAAGGCATAGCCTTCCATTCATGTGCAGAAAGGGCGTGATCCAAGAAGCTCAGGTTTCATTATCCCAAAACTGCTTTAAAAGTAACTTGAGAAATTTTGTGTGTTTCTATGCAGGTGATGTAGTTTCCAAAATGCAGATAAAAGTGAAATGAATTCCACTGAACCATGTGAGGAATCGCTGCACTGACTCGTGCCGTTCCTTCACACATATCAGAACCAAAACCACACCATGCCTGAAGGTGACGCCAGGGAACGATCTCCTATCTCATCTTTTTGGCCCTGAGTCTTCATAAAACTAAATAAGAGAAATCACATTTGAGTTTAGAACTACAAGGGCTTAAATGTCCCTCGTTTATAAATTTTGCTTATCCAGGTTTTTCATTAATTTTCACGTGATTCAGAAGAAACAAAGTAGCAATCAGTGATTCTGATTCATGCAAAAGTAAATGGCACCCATGATACTTTTTGTCAAACCATATGAATTCACGTATTACGTCGTCTCCTGGGTGAAATAGTGAACATTTCCTTGGCACAAAGGGAAGTTCCTTGCACTTGAGCTCACAGTCTGGTCATGCATTTTTCAGAGCTGTACAAATAAGCCCATACTGTTCATATACATGAGACAGTTGCCATTTTGTGAGGGGAAAAAAAAAAATAAAAAAAATCAATATAGCATAGAACAATATAGTGTCAAAATCGCACATTCTCTTGTTACTGAGACTTTACACCTCTCCTCTTTACTGCTTCTTTTAAAATTGCTCCTACTTGCACTGTAATATCCTTCATGACACAAAAAATTACATTCCTTTTCCCCAAAGTTCTGTTTGGAAGTAAACACCTCCAATAGTTCTTCAGTTTTGCAGAAAATGCAGAGCCTAACTGACACATCTTGGTTAAAATATGTCATGATCAAAGATTAAGTCCTCATCATGAAATGGCAGTTCTTAGTAAGATGCTTAAGAGGATAAAACTTTTGTGCGACAGATGTCACAATAAAACAAAGTAAAACTGTATGATCCAGGAAAATATAACAGTCTTTTATTCTTCTCGTCAGTGATGATAAATAGGGGGAGGAAAAGGAAATAACTTATATGCATTTATCTTGACACATCAGTTTTGGTGCATACAACACTTTAAGCAGCCAAAATTGAAAAAAAAAAAAATCTTATCAGGCGTGCATCAAATGGATTTGTCTACGTTGAGTTATATTACAAATTACAGTTGCATATTAATACATCTCTTGAGATTTACTTGTGCATCTGTGAGCCTCAAGAAGTGAAATATTTTACTCTCGTCATCATTCAACTCATGGCATAGTAACACTGCTTTTGCTGCACTTCACTGTGCCCAACTTTTACTGTCTAACCACTGCACTGATGTCATTTTTCATAACAGGCTACTGAAATTAAAAGCAAGGCAAGAAAGCAGAAGAAACAGGGGAAATGTGGAGGGCAAAATATATGCCACACCTACAGGAAGCCCATCCAAGTAAATGCACTTCATTTCAAAAAAAAGCAGGTGATTCCCAAAGCCTTACAGCCCAACTTTTTTGCCAAGTGCTCAGGAAGTGTCATTAGACAAACTAGACAAATCCATGACAGCCAGTCCGCCCAACTGCAGATATTCAGTTCTGCTATGTTGACATGCAAGCAAGCCCTCAAACACAAACTTAGCAAGTTCATTTCTAATGCACAAAACTGAAGTTACATAAATATTACCTAAGTCCATATGTACACGTGCAAGCAATGAAAAATTACAATACTAATTTCCTAAAGTATATACAGTTAAAACCTCCATTAAACATAGAGTAACAGTAATGAAAACATTTGATTTCAGTGTAATACAATGAAACTGCAGTGCCTGACATTTTAAAGACTAATTCCTTGCTCACCTATCTCTCACTTTTCCAGAATTATGTTGTATATCTTTGCTCCTACAATGGAAGCGTTGGCTTCTCTCCATTTTGCAGAAAGATACCAAGAGACAAAACACATATTAAGCCTTTTCCTACACATCCCACATACAAGCTATGCTAAGCATAATCCAGAAATTTCTCATCATCAAAACAACTAAGAAGAAACTTCCTAGTCTGAATATCAGAAATAAATATGTTTTTGCCATAACAGCTATGGTCCACTCAGGAACACGGAAGGCAGAGGAAATAAGTTGCGTTATTCACTCACACAAATCAACCACCATAGATGAAAATAGGAAAAGCCTCATAGAGCCTCCTACCCCATGCCAAAAAAATAACAATTTAGTCTACTTAAACAACTCACTCACTCAATTCAAATAAGCATTTTCCAGTAGTTGAAGAGCCCCCATTAGGCCTGGTTGTACTCTGAATGCCAAGAAATGCAGCTTTGGTCAACTTCATATTTGCAGCGATTTACATGCATTTTGTTTCCTGATGTGCGTTGGTTCCTGACGCTCATATGCAATGAGGCAAGGCAGACACCCAATAGCTCCTCTCTGCAAATATTCATTGTGATTAACTGAAGGATTCGATTTCTGGTTCTGTAATGGATTCATCTTTAAAACCTTTGAATGTTCAGACCCCATGCTTAGAGAGTGGTTTTACTTGCTAGGAAACAGATATGAAAAGAGAACACTGACAACCCAAGAACTGGACTAGCTTTTTAAATATTAATGGAGCATTCACAGGCACATTCCCCAGGCATGGTTGAACTGTGTTTTTCGTAGAATTCTACAAATCAGAAAAGAAATATAACCAACACAATGTGTTCCTTTAATTTCAGCCTCGTGTAGAGCAGCCTTACAGCTCCCAGTGTTTACCCAGATCCTACAAAGCTGGATTCAGTGGTCAATTAAAAGACTTGCCATTATTTCCCTTCTTCTGAGATTGCGGCTCATAAATAGGGCCAGAAGAGTCTCAGGAATTATTCCACCAGCCTGGTAATATTTTGTTGCCTCATTCAGGGGCCTTCAGTGTATTCTTACCCCAGCCACATGCACAAGGAGTAAAACAGATCACCCGTTGGCCCACTGCTTGAGTATTGTGTGGAATGGCTTTCATCAGTGCCAAAGCACAGCAGAGACCTCTTCTAGCACATAGGGTTGCAGAGTACAGCGCTCTTAGATTTGCATCTCATTTGAAGAAACAGACAATTTCAACTTGCCAAAATGTCTTCCATACATTACTTCAAATTATCAAAAGCAATAAAACACTCACTACTCAGTGTCGTGCTTTCAAAATCTTACCTTTCATGTCACCAATCTTTCAAACTAGGCAAAACACTCCCTTCCACTCTTGAAAGCAGGCTGCTTCACCTCCTCTCGTGGCCCACGAAAAGCACACTTGTATCTCCTAGAAAATTTTGCACACACAAAAAAAACAGTTTAGAGGAATTGGAGTTTATGATGATTTCTGACGTTCTGCATAAGGTAACAGATCTCCCCCAAATGAGACACAAATCAGGAGGGTCTCCCTGGAACCTGAGCTACTTAGATTTACAGTCAGGCAAAAAAAAATCACAATTCTGATTTGAAATATAATTGCCAAGTGCAAAACTTGCTTTGTCATTAGTGTGAAAGCAACACACTACCCAAAATCTTTTTCTCAACTCAACACAAACAAGGTTTAATAAACAAAAGACAGATATTTGAAACTGAACATGCTTTCCTTGCTGCAGAAGGCTTTAAGACTTATTTCAGAGATGATCTCATTTACTCTGTTATAGGAAAGAGATGCGAGTAATATAGAGCAATGGATGGAAAGGAAAAATATATTTTTCTGTATAGAACATGCACAAACCTATTTATGATATAAATAAATAAAAACCAGAAAATAATCTTGGTGAATTATATATATACACACACACTTTATGTAAAATGAAATGAAAAACATTAATCAGCACTTAATAAGCCCAACATATCTTTCCACAGAACAGCTGATAAGCATTCCCCTCTCCTTCCCTCCCACAGCAGCACTGATCTCCAAGTGTGTAAAATATTTTTGGACACTTGGTGGTTTGATCAAAATCTCCTGAAAGGTTCTCTTATGTCTCTTCTGTTTCCTGTTCTTTACATTTCATCCAGTACAACAACAGGGAAAAAAAAAAAAAGAAAAAAAAAAAAACCCTTCTGTTATTTCAGCTGGTAAGAATTTAAAAGCCTCACTGTAAATGCTGTGAAAACTGACAAAAAGATGCTTACTGCCTGTGGCATGCTGACGGAAGGAATACTTTCTCAAAGACTCTATTGCTCCTAATAGTAAATAAACAAACAAAAATATCACCTGAGTCACACAGTAGTTAATGACCAAAATACACCCGAGTAAATTAAAATTCTTCACAACTTTCATTGTTTATTCCTTAGTCTAAAAACACTACATTAGTCTAAATAATGGTAAGTATAATATATGACAATATTTGGGGCCCAATCCAGCAAGAACATCTCTAGCCTCCTTGACTATGGAAGACAGAGCATCTGACTGGAAACAGCTCCATCTTGTTCAGAGGAGAGGCTGTAGCTGCAGATGTCAAGGTGCAGGTCAACAGAGCAGCCATGAGCTGCAGAGCAGATCGGGCAGCAGAAGGGGTAAGGGTCATCAAAACCTCGACTGCCTCTCACCCGATGCCAGATCCCAAGTAGAACACAAAACAATTCTATTGCTATCCTCCACAGCACACAAAAAACACAAAGGACTAATTTACGGACTTCCACTCTTACAAACTTCTACTTAAGAGTCACATCCCAAAATATTTCTTAGATATTTTTTGCACATGCTTTAGTTCAGTTCAATTTTGCCACTTAAAGTTGCTCAAAATTTCAATTACAGCCATTAAATGTATCACCAGTTTGTGTCTACTTCTCCAATCTCAATGCTACCAGACTTTTTCTTTGGACCACACAGCTAGTTTGAGTTGCTGCAGCTGTTAGATGAAAGTCAGTTATAATTCAGTCTTATCTACAAGTAACAAAAACCGAGGAAAGCAAAACATAACATCGTTTTCCAGAAGAGTATTATAGCCCAGCAACCTGTAGAGACAAGAGAAAATGCAATACATTCTCTGTCAGGTAATTTGGGATTTGAGAGTGAGTTGACATAATTCTGATGATTTTTTTTCATTTTGATTTTTTAAAGGAACTTGATAAACACAGTAGAACTTTGTGATGCAACAGCAAAATAGAAGGGCAGCAGACCTTGTCACTTCCCTCACCCCAAGTGCTCCAGTTCTCTGGTTCGGAATTTTCATCCATCATCTTTAAGTAGTCACCTTAGAAAATGCCTAGAGAAATTCCTATCAAGAAAACAAAACCACACAGAAAAAAAACTACTGATTGGAATAGGCTGTGTTTTGGAAATCCATTGTAATCTCATCAATTGACAATCGTATTTCGAACTACCAGCAGCTGGAAGTCAAACGGGAAAAAGCTCCTTATAGCTAAATTAATCCATTCAAAATTCTATGCTATGATTGAAACCAAGCGTAGCTAATGACTTGAAACATCCAAAAAATTTCACCCATTCTGGTTTAGTTTCAAGGCTGGTCCCTGGTGGCAGGGAGGTGGCTTTGGCCACTGTGGCGGCACCGCCGAGCTCAGCCTTTGGGCTCTGTACAGCTTGGTGCAGGGTGTGCAGCCAGGAGCTGGAACAGCTGCCCTCGAGCTGTGACAACCAGCTGGCTCCTGTGGTCATGACAGAGGAAAAGGAAAAAAAAGTGGGTTCTAACATTTATTTTGACTGCCAAAATTGTCATCTTCTCAATGTTTAAAGCAGACAGGTCTCCAAAAACAAGCAAATGCTGCCTTCTAAAAACCTTCTAAAAATTGCCAAGTACAAGAAAATGTCTTTCAGACTAAATAAAGTCAGTAATGACAAACACATGAAGCAAAACTTTGTAGACTAATATAGTGATTAAATCGGAGCACTGTGCTTAGCTTTCCAGATAACTCTGATGCCAGACACAGTGTGGTTGGCATCCTTATGGCTGTGGGCTTTGAAAATGATTTCCTCTGAAAAAGACTTATCCTCCATCTATCCAGAAAAATAATTTTCTTTTTCCCTTTTGCTTCTACTGGAGAGGACAGTTCTTGCCAGCATACTGCCTGGCCATATACATGCACAGTCACACGCTGCATTTGCAAAAGAATTAGAACATGCTGATTTAAACTAATGGTTGCTAACTATATAACAATATAAATTTGCAAGAAAGACTTTGAAATGGAAATTGTGTATTTCATAACACATGATTAACAGTTCACTAAAAGAAGGCTGTCCAAATTATCAAACAATAGAACCATACTCTGCAAAGGCAAAAATAAGCTTGAAGTTATTCTAAGCAAAACAGTGACATCTGAAAGTTGTTGGAATTTTTTTTTTTTTTTTTTAAATCATCATTACCACTTGGCTATTAAAACTTGCACAGAAAATCTTCCAGGAGTTCTGAAGCACAGCTCTCCTAACCTCCCTCTTTTTCTCAATAGTCTGTACTAATATGACCCTGAAGTTCCAGCAGGAAACAACTCCAACAGCTTTTACCTGAGAAGATATAATTGAACATAACTTGAACTTCCGAAGTTTCTGCCAAAGAGACTAGAAGTTTATCTTACAAAACACTCTGAACCTCATAGAGCACTTTCAAAAACACTTAAATACAAAAGGGATCTTTGCTCCTTAAAAAAAGAGAGACAGAGAAACACACTGCAGCAAACTCTATCTTTCAGTCCAGGCATGTTCTGTGCTTAGGAATCCTGAGAAGCCCCAGAAAGGTCACACACATCCCAACACAGAAGAGAAGCACCATGTGACTCTTCACAAGGATATGGTCTCTCTTTTTTTTGTCAGCAGTCAATGCTCATGAGGAGGACAGAAGTTACTGAGGGACTGAAGAATTATGTTTGATAGGTATTCAAACCCTCACAGGAAAGAATGATAATCTAAAAGAAAAAAAAAAAAAAAGGCACTGTATTAACAAAGGCTTTTGGAGAAATGTTACATTGCTAGAAATGAGAATACAAAAAATGAAGTGCATTAATTATTTAGGTAAATGAGAAGTTACTAAAAAGATACACAAAATGTCAATTAATTCTAGAAGTGTTTCTATTCTTTCAGCTATTTTATTTTTAGGTGACAGGATTGCTTCTTGTGTGAAGCAGAGACCATTTCTCTGTGCAAATAACATGAGATCAAGTGAGCAGTCCAACACTGCATTATGCAGCTGTGAAATACCAAGTTTGAATTTGGTGGAGTAAACTCCATCCACTTTTTTGCATTCTTCAGTCTACTTTCTGTATGCTTCCCTCTATGTTTTAACACACAAGTGTACCTATAGATAGTCATGATTTTATGATTTTTGTTGTCAGTATTCCATATCATACCACCATGTAAATCACTGGGAGTTAAAGAATTAATGCTCCACTTCCATGGACTGCCAATTTTCCAAATACCTGGCTCTCAGAAGAGAAGAAATAAACACCCCAGAGGATTTTGTGTTCAGAGGAGAAGATAAAGCTGCAAGTCGCGGGACTCTCTGCTGCTGTCTGGCAGTATGCGGATGTGCGCGCCAGCTGTTCTGCCTTCAATTCAGAGTAAGGCCTTCTGTTTCAGACACTCTCTCTCAATTTTATCTATTGGCTTCAACTCCAATTATATGTTGTATCATATTGTGTTATCTTGCACTCCGATATCACGTTCAGTAAATTAACTTTCCTCCTCAGATCGTTGCTGCCGTTCTGTTTTTAGGCCCAGCTCCCATCTCCCTCCCCTTCCCCAGGCCGGTGGCCCTGCTGCTCCCCCGTCACAGACACAGACAGATCTAGAGATAACTCCGTGACAACATACATTAACAACCAACGACACAACAGTCCTACTCTGGCAGGGGGAACCAGTTCATTTGTTTAGAAAGAACGTAACAAAAACCCCCTTCAGCTGCTGCACAGTAAAATTAAGTGGCGTCAAATGAGTTTCTGCACGTGCCAAATCAGACCGCAGGACGTGGATGTGAGGGCTGCAGCCGCCATGACAGAAATACAGAGTACTGTTCGACAAGTGCCATTCTAGCACCACCAGACCAGATGTTCTGCTTGCACAAATCTATGCAACTTCACGAACCTCTGTGAAGATATCCATATAATCCAGTTTGGTTCCTCAGTACGGCAGCCTAAAATGGAGATTTGAAAGGCTGTGGGTGACTTGTGCTTTCCTTTGTAAGAGCAAACAACACGCAGCCCCTTGGCTGTAAAAATGAGCGATGTATCATATGCACATATGAAATACTCCTCCATGAAAGGGGCTCTTTGTTTTGTGATGATTAAATGATTCATGGCCACAGAACTGTGATGTGGATCACTACCAGTGACTTG